TTAGTTTTATGTACTTTAGAATTTCAAAACACAACCAACTATTGGCTTCCTGTGCTTTTTTTCCTTTTTTTTTCTCCATAAAATATGATTCATATTTTGAACTATATATCTTGTAGTAAATAGCCATCTCATCCCATATAGACACAACATGCATAAATGTTAATGATAAATATGTTGTCCTTTTTGTTTGGGTAAAAATTAGTTTAATGTATAGTTTATTTTAAATTGAGGTGTAGTCTTTGTCAGTGTTTTTCAACCCGGACTGGCCCGGCGGGTCGACTCGAGACCCGGTCGACCTGGAGCTGGAACCGGTCCGGGTGGGCTATTCGGACCGGAAACCAACAGACCCGGTCAAACCCGGTCAACCCGGCATTGACCCGGATGGGTCAACTCAGTTGACCCGGTCCTATATATTTTTCTTATTATTTTTTTTATTTTTTAATATATTTTTTGTTTTTGAAAAATAAAACTATTTATATATATTTATATGGTAAATATTTATCATGAAATACATATTATTAGCACTTTAATGTGCAAATTTTAGATACAAAATATTTAATTTTGTTATTTTTATGTATATTTATAAGACAAAATACTCTATATATAATTTTAAAAAATTTAAAATTAATTATCCGGTTCAGCAATTGACCCGATGACCCGGCGGTTGAACCGGTGACCCGGTAACCCGGAGACCTGCCCGGGTCGATTCTCGGGCCGGGTCTAAAAACTATGGTCTTTGTACTTGTTAGAAATAACGAATTCTCAAAACTATTTTCGACAATTTCCTTTAACTACTATTTCCTTTTTTATTTTAAAGAGCGGTTTATGGTGAACGTTCTGCAAAAGTGCCTATGAGGCTCTTTGAAGTTTTATTTATATTTTCTTTTGGTGAATTGTAAATTCTCCCCTGCTTCTATCAATTTTCTATTCACGTTTAAGGTGGCGACCAAGTACCATGAAGGTGACTAATGGGACAAGTTGCAAACGAATTGAAAACTGAATTTGGTTTTCCATAATTGAGGACATGCTTAATATATGAAATTGATAAAAAAAAAAATATTATAAAATTATTTTATTATTTTATGTGAAGGACAAATTTGTCCTTTCATAAATGCTGTTTTTTAAAAAAAAAAAAGTTTATAACAAATTAACATGACATGTGTTACAGTACTAAAAGACACAATATAAAGTATGTAACAAAGAGTACCTAGTAAAATGACGCAACTTAGTTGTGGATTGGTCTATTTTCTAAAAGGAAAAAAAGGTAATAATAATTAGTTTATTTACTATATAGTTGTAAGGTTATAGATATTGAACTTGAATTACATTACATTTGTATAAAAGGTTGTACTTTTTTTTGAAAATTTATTTTCAATTCCTTATCTTTAGTGTTGGGTCGTACTAGATAATATTTTTAGTAATGTCACTGTTGCTAGCCGAAAAATATAGAAAATTTATGAACTTGTCGCATGCATATTGGGAAATGGCGTGAATGCATTGTTCTAATCAATGCGGGGCAAATCTTGGATATTGGAAAAGTTGTTATTTTGACCTTTGTTACACCATGGCCATTACTCTACTTCTATAATTTGGAATATATATGCATTTATAGCTTCTACTTCAATTATTATGTTAGAAACTTTGAATTATTAAATTGAGTTTGTTTGGATCTAGCTGACTTAGGAGTTATAACAAAATTTGTATAACATATAATGGTTAGACAAATTCTTTGTCATGGACAATTAATTGTAGCCATTCATAGGTAATTTGAAGTTTGAACATCTCCTCTCCAGATGTATGCTGATTAAATACTAGTAGTTGACTAGTGTAAATTTCAACCAAAATTAGAATTAAACATTTTTTCCTTTTCCTTAATGGAATTGTAGATATGCTCTATTTTTATTTTATAGGGTTAGAGTGTCATGATATTGATATCTTAGATATGTGATCCTTGCTTACGTGCAATGCCAAAACCTTGGATAAATGGATAGCCTCCTAATTTATGGTTTCTTGTAAGAATTTAACCGTTTAACTCAATAATTTGAATTAAACCTACAATTATGGGTGTCGATAGAATTGTGCTGAGCAGGGACGGACTCACGTATAGGCGAGCGTGGGCAGTTGCCCAGGCTCAATTTTTCTGCTAAAGATGAGTTATTATAATTTTAATAGAATTATTGAGCATGAAAGGGCCAAATCAGAAGCTGCGGGCGGACTTGCAGGGAAGAAGAAGATGATGTGCAGGGTTTTTTTTTTCTCTAAATTAGCCCTACAAAAAATGACGTCGCTTTTAGCCTCCATTTAATTAAAAATTGGAAGCCAAAATGACGTCGTTTTATACTAAAAAATTTAAATAAAAAAATAGAAAAAGATTTCTGCCTCTACACATTACGCCCGCAGACAACACAAGAAAGCCGACCCCTTTCCAAAATTAGGGATAACTTTCTCTAAGATCCCCAATCCCAAATTTTAAAATTGGTTGCAACTCATCGAAGGCCACTCTATTCTCATCTTCCATCTTTCATTCTTCCGCTGAATCCGCTCTTTTCGTGGTCGTGAATTGAAAAAAAATAAAATTCTCAAGGACGGCTCACGGCTTGAATGGTTTAAATTTGATAAAGATTTCTTCGGTAAGCTAATGTAAGTGTTTTGTGGTTTGAGTTTATCTTCCCTGATTTTGTGGTTTGAGTTTATCTGTTTATGGTTTGTAGAAGTAGAAGTAGGAGTTTGATTTCTTGGACCAGATGAGGAGGGTTACGAGACAACTAGGGCGGGCCAGATGAAAACATAGTTTAAATAATAAAGCACAATAAAAAAATCCGCTGGGTTCATGATTTGGAATCTTCCATCCTGGATGTTTTTTTTTGTGACCTGCATCAAAGAATTTGGTTGGGTTTTTAGATCATATGATTTTGTTTATGAGCACCAAAAGAGGGGGAAAAAAAATATATGAGATGAAGTTTTTTATTGTGTTCTAAATAAATATTATGTCAAAAAATGATATATTGTGTTTATATATATATATTGTGCAATCCCTGTAGGTCTAGCCAAACTGTTACAAGAAATGGGGGATGAAAAATGTAGCTAATTAATTATCTATGAAAAAAATTGAAATACTTGATATTATAGTAGATGCAACTCAAAAGTTGGTGTTTGGATTATTTGAGGGGGAATTTTCGCAAGTTGGAACCAAATTTAATTGGACTAGCTGACTCGCCATTATTTAATTATTTTATTTGTATTTTTTAAATGTTAAAAGTGTTTCTTATGCAAGAACAAAATTGAANTTATCAATTTTTTTAATTGAAGTAAATCATTGAAAAAATTAGTATATTACCCTGGCTAATAAAATTTTCTGTATCCGCCACTGGTGCTGAGCCCAACCGATTTAATTGAAAAATTAATATTTGAGCTTGTGCTAGTTTAACAAATTAGCCAGACCGACTTGACCCGTTTAATAAATGAACAAAAGGCTCAGCTTGAACTCAATTCATTTAAATTGTGAAAGTTCAGTTCGACTCGGCTCTAGTTGCTTAATAAATCAAAAATTATAAATTAGTAGTTCCAAATAAAAAATGTTCGCTTCCGAACAAGTTTGGCTTGGTTGTTTCATTTAAAAATCATAAAAGATTGAAAATACAAAATATTAAAACGACATGTTTGCGTACAAGGTCGAATCAACTCTAATAAAATGAGCTCAATTTAGTTGTTCAAGTTCTACTATTTAAATAAAAGCATGACTCATGAGCCGAGATCAAGCAAATGTTTATGGAAACTTCCTACCGTCAAATAAGCCGAAGTGCAACCTTCATGTTTATGTGAAATTTGAAGCATCGAAACTAGTTATAGTATTTTTCCTAAATTATTGCATCCCAAAAAAAAAATAAAAATAAATAAATAAATAAATAAATAATTATGACTTCCCCAAAACACCTACATTATTCCCTTTTTAATTCCGGGTCATCAAATTGATGCTCAAGTACAGTTTTATTCGTTTCCTTTTTATTTTGTCTTCATTCATATTCTACCCGTAGTTTAAACTTTAAACCACTGGCATGGCATGTATTTACTTTATAATATTAATTGTGTTTAATCAATTTTTATACGAAAAAAGTAATGATAGTAATATTTCAGGTACAAAACTGGCGTCACTCTGTGTGATAAGCCACCACAGATCATACACAATACCAACTTTTAAAAATAAATCAGCTTGTTATATTATTATGACACAAAACCATTGTTTTTCTACATGATAATTCTCTATAACAAATACTTGCTTCGGCCTAAAAGTAGGTATATATTTTTATTCTATCAACTTCATTCTATAATAGCGTTCAATTTCAATGGGCGTTTGAGTGGAGTCAATGAAGCACCATATATTTCAAAAATAGATTGTGTTATCCCAATTGGACCGCGTTATTTTCATAAATTACAATATTTTTATAAAAAATAAATAAATAAAAACAGTGTTTTAGAATCAGACCAATCTGGCGGCTCAACCCACAACTGATATGGTCCAGATGAATTTCAAAATTGGATAGGAAAGGGTCCGGTCAAACTCGATCAAATCTCAGTTAGACTCGGTCAATACCCGGTCAATCCGACCTTGACCCGATTGATTTAGGTATTGACCTTGTTGGGTCTTCTCAATTTGATTCAATCATTAAACATATTTTTATTGTTTTTACCTTTTCATTTTTAAAATAAAATTATGTACATATATTATTTATATATAAATAATTTATTTTTGTTATTTTATGTATAATTATTTGATAAAATAATACGAATATAATTTAAATTTTTTAAAATTAATTATTTGTTTTAACAATTGATTCGATGACCAAGGATTGGACCAGTAACATGGAGTCAACCTGGTGAGTCATCTACGTGGGTTTTAATGCAAAAATTTCTATAAACAATAGTTGTAATATTGATCAAATCATTAATCACATATTAGTAACTTTGGTCCTACCTTAATTATATAACTTTGGGGCCAAACATCGTAATGCCCGAGATCTTATTTTGTCTCTCTCCCGTTCGTTTCCTCTTTAGCATTTTTTATTAATAAATTCTCTTTTCAAGTATCAATCTTGTTTCTCCTCATCAAACACAGATAATAAAAACATAAAAGAAGAAAATCAACTACTCTTTCTCCCCCAAAGCTGCCCATTTTTCTCTCTCCAATTTTTATTTTTTCCCCTCAAAACTTTTCAAGAAAGATGCTTGGAGTGAACTCATGCTCATGTGTAAGGATGCTGCAAGTATAGATCTTCTTCATCTTTTTCCATTGAAAAAAAAAAATGGATTATGGGTTTGCGTGCCATAAGAAAAGCTCCAATCTTGATGGGTCTTTTCTGGTTTCAAACGAGCCCAAAGACGAAAAGGGCCATGGATCTGGACATCTGAAGCACCAAAGATCTGATCTTGCTGAGGATAACAACAACAATGGTAATAACATGTGGAGGCTGTCTGAGATGCCTAGGCCTGGGGAAGTTGATTTCTCTTCGAGGAAAGCTGCTGAGAGCCTAATTAGTACTCCGTTTGGGAGATCCATTCTTTGGCCGCCGGTGGACGACGCCGACGGCGGGAAAATGCTCTCATTTGCGTCGGAGGAGCCTCATTGCAGCGGCGGTTCGGGCCGGAGTATAGCGTTTTCTATCTACCAGGATGAGCATCACAGTAGAGCGGGAGGTACTCTTTATTTTTTGACATATTTTTTTTCATTTTTAGTTGAAGTTTTGAAGCTGTAGTGTGATAATCTATTTTTAATGTTTNAATTGTTACCTGGAGATTTGGATGACGAATGTGATGTGTATATTTATTTGCTTAGTAATATACTAATATTAAAGAATCAGATTATTTGTTGGCACCATCTTCTTGCACAGGATGCTAATGGAGGGTCTTCTTTTGTGCAACTGATTAAGATTCCTTCTTCTTTATTTCCTTTGTCTATTGGGTCTGTCTAAAAAAAGAAAACGTTTTCATATGTTAGGTAAACCAAGTAGCTGAAGAATAAAATAACTAATAGCCATTTTGATTTTTCTGTAAAACCTGAATATCTATTTTACACCTGAAAAAAAGCTGGACTTGTACTGTGAGAACAAAAACAGTAAACCAAACAGTTGAAGATTTGTATCTTCTACCTTTTGCTTTCCAGTTTACTGTAGTTTTAGCAGCATGCCACTTTAAGGTGCCATATATATGCTTTGGACAAGAAAATATTCGAATTTTCTTTCGTCGCCTTATTATATTCTCTTCTCAGGGTTCGGGCTGATTGGGGGTGGCCGTGGACCCTTTGCAAAGCTGAAAGGACCCTTTACCCCTTCTCAATGGATGGAACTCGAACATCAGGCTTTGATCTATAAGCACATTGTAGCAAATGTGCCTGTTCCTTCCAATTTACTCGTTCCCCTCAAGCGCTCTCTCTATTCGTACACTTTACCAGCTACTTACGCCCCTAACTTACGTAATTAAGGCTATCTCTTTAATTTACCCTTTGACAATAATTTCTTTATTCTCCAAATTAAGTCACATGTTTTGTTGTTTTGGGAAGTGGGGTGGGGCCCGTTCCATGTAGGTATCTCCGGGAGCAATGACCCAGAGCCGGGAAGGTGTAGGAGGACAGATGGCAAGAAATGGCGGTGCTCGAGAGATGCCGTCACTGACCAGAAATACTGTGAGAGGCACATTAATCGAGGTCGTCACCGTTCAAGAAAGCCTGTGGAAGGCCAAACTAATGGCCACACTCTCTCTCAGCATCAACCAACAAATACGCCTATTTCTGCTGCTGCTTCCACTGACTATCTCATTAGCAGGTGAACTAACAGCTATAAATGTTTTTGAAAAATATAATCATGGTTTTTTCGACATGTCCGAGGCTGAAGAATGCATCTTTTATGAGTCGCCACTTGTACCCTATGGATTCGTGTGTAGTAGGTTTACGTGTGATTATTAGGTTCCCTTTTAATGAATGAACAGCTTTCATGAATGTCGAAATCGAGGAGAAGACAAATTTGGTGAAGCGTCTCTACCTTTAGCAATTAATGTTCATAACCAAATTTTGTGTTCCATTTTTGTATCAACTTGATTTCCTCCAAGATATGCAACTACTGTATGATATGAAAGATTTATTTATTTATTTATCTTTTTTTTTTTATGCATATAATCAAATCTGAAACTGAACTAATCCCTAGTAGCATCATTTTTCACATTAATTATTGAAAATTTGACGTGCAACACAATCAAAATAGCTTTACGTATGCGAATCTAGTTGTGGAATTTCATTTTTTTTTTCCTAATAAAATGTTTTGACTTTTGAGGTTTTGATACATAGCAGGCCGCAAGAATTTCAAGGACTCTCCTTGATACCTCCCACGACAACTCTAAAACCCAAACACACACAACAATTCCCCTTTCAAAAGGAACACCTCACTTTTCAAGAGCCACCCGACTCGAAATTCGGAGTCGTCATCTCCTCAAATTTCATGGACTGTCCCAAGGTCGACCAATCCCAGCGCGCCACCTCAGCTCCATGGCACGAACCTCTCAAACCCGACTGGACCCAGCTGTCAATGTCCATCCCCATGGCCGCCGACCCAGGATTCCCATGCTCCCCAGAACGGCCCAAACCCAGCCCATTATTCCTGGGGGGCCCACACGAGCTGGACCCAATAGTCCACATGGGCCTGGGAGTGGGCCATGATCTCGATAATCCGGCCCACAAAGAACAACAGCAGCCCATCGCGTGGGGGAGCCAGCTGGGAGGACCTCTGGGGGAGGTGCTGAGCTGGCAGGTCTCGGGTTCATCCCCTAAAGGCGTGCTGCAGAAGTCGACTTTTGTCTCGCTCTCAAACAGTAGTTCGACTGATAATGGCAGCCTATGTAATGATGTGTTTGGGTCCGCGGTTCTGAGCTCGGCAGCTTCTCAGACTCTCAGGTGAAATGGAAAACAGGAAAATGGATGGGTGTTTGTTTGAGTGGAAGGAACTTTTTTAATAAAATCTTTAAGTGTGTGTTTGATTTAGATGTTTGTTTGTTTTCATCCTTGTGATGTGTTGTTGGACTTGGTTTGTAGTTTGATTCGTGTACCTGTAACAGTAGTTAATTTGCGCTTTTAGCTTGACGAAAATGATAAGCTCTATTGGTCATGTTTGTTTCTTTCTTCAAAATTTGTGGTGGACAGTGGTCCTAGATTCATGAAATTGATCAGCGTGGGAAGTTCATTCAACTAAAGTAACTGAGTTTCGTATTATAGGAAGCTCATTCAACTTAAGTTACTGGGTTTCGTATTATAGGAAGCTCAAGTTACTGGGTTTCGTATTATAGGAAGCTTATTCAACTTAAGTAACTGAGTTTCATATTATAGGAAGCTCATTCAACTTAAGTTACTGGGTTTCGTATTATAGGAAGCTTATTCAACTTAAGTAACTGAGTTTCATATTATAGGAAGCTCATTCAACTTAAGTTACTGGGTTTCGTGTTATAGGAAGCTCGTCTGCATAGGATAGGTGGAATGTTTTTCTTTGCCAATCAGAGTGTTCTGTTTCAATTTTCCCCTTGTTCTTCTCTTTGTTGNCAATTTTGTTTTTGGGTGCTCATAAATTATCGGTATTTACCAGAAATAATAAAAACCAAACCGTGACTTCTTTTAATGGTTGCATATGTGAAGTTTGGATAATATACTATGATGCATTTCGTCTTCAGATATTCTTGAATTTTTTCTAGGTTTTTCCCTTGTGCGTGTTTTATCTTAAACCATTGAAGATTACATGTCCAGATTTTTGTCAGCACACCCATCGAGCAATCCGTCTTTTGTGTTTATAGGATTTCGTTCTGTGTTTTTACGTTCGGCGATTAACTTTTTAACCAATTGATTTTCTTTGCTTCAAATACTGTTTATTTCAATCGAAGGTGTACAAATCAGATAAATCGGAATACAAGAAGCTCGAGAGGGGCCCACCTACTTGTTCGATCAAGCCATAGACTTCACAAACTAGAAGGGCGGGAGGCAACCTGGTCAAAACTTGATCAACCCGACATTTATCCAGTTGACTCGAGCATCGACCCGGCGGGTTAACCCAGTCAATATAAATTTTTTAATTTTTAAAATATTTCTTATTATAAAAATAAAAAATATGTATATATATATATTATTAAATATTTATTATGAGATATAATATTTCTGCCACTTTGATATACAAAATTTATATATAAAATATTTATTTTGGTCAGCTTCATGCCCACAAATGATGTTAAATTAAGTAGCTTAATTTATGATGTGCACACGAAAATATAGAGTTATAAGAACTGTGAAATTATATTGTACGTAAGTGCTCATATAATCATTTACATCGAAATCTTAATTAATCTATGCTATGCTAAAATATCTCAGTGGAGCAAAATTCAGAAGATATCAACATGTGTTTTAGAAACCCAAGCCTTATCCAAAATCCTAATATTATCAAATGTTTTTTATACACCACCAACTTCGTGAATACTATTTTTATTAAAGTTTTTGACAATTAAGTACTGATTTGAGCTAAGTTTGCCGAAGACATTGTAAGTAATGATGTTGTAGGTTGACTAAGCGTTGATATTTTCGTGCTTCATCAGTAAATGATCTTGTGTGGGTGTGGAAATTTTCATTTTATTTTACTTTTCATATTTTTTTCCTTGTCTAAACTAAAGTTGATCATAAAATTCTTGACAAGAGTAATGTATGGTGGAGTTACTAATTACGTACGTTGAACCTACTCCTCCAAATAATAAAGTCTTAACAAATTAAAATTATAGGGTACAGTCCGTCTAATAGTTATGTCTGACTAGTATTCTTCTGTGCATATACACAATGTAAACAAAATTTTATACGTTATATTTGTGTGTATAAAATATTTTAAATCATAAGTTAGATGATGAGAGTAGATCACATTTTTATAAATCTTAGCATCAGTAAAAATAAACAATATAAATATAAACTTTTTAACTTACATATTAATCTATATATTGATACAATTAATCTTGGTTGATTTTTTACCAATTGATTGAATAAAACAATTTCAGAATTATTAATTATAGCAATTGTGTAAGAAATTTAAAGTATTTGATTATATCATAAAAAATACTTAACTAATTTTAATTAAAAAAAATTGCTTAATGAATTAAAAAAAAAGGTATAGAATGGAATAACATTTAATGTGACTTTATTATTAATGTGACCTCAATTAATTTCTCAAAGTATAAAATCTAGCTAACTTCCTTAGTAAACAAGTATATAATTATACTGTTAATGCACCATGATCATTATTAAGTGCAGTTGGACTTTCTTAACTTTAAATGGTTCTAATAAATCTTTGTCATAATTTCTCCAATTAATAAGTCCTGATGATCTTGACGGTTCAACACATCCCTACTTATTTTTCTCACACAAAATGATAATAAAATAAATCCCTTGAGGCCTACACATCTTCGAATAACATGCATTTCACCTACCCAGAAACAGGCTTTAATGAATTTATTACCAAGCAATAATATTCTCTATAGCTCCTCAATATATATCATCACTAGACATTAAGATTCCTTAGTACCTATTCTCCAAAAATGTAGACGCACACAACTGTCATAACAGTATGATTTTCAAAATTATTTCATCATAATTTGGTCTCAAAGCTAGCTAGCATGAGCCACAGGAAGATTCATTCACAGGGTTACGTGCCGTTTTCCTGGGAAGAGAAGCCTGGAATCTCCAAGTTCAACCACCAAAAGTCGTCATCAGACGTGAGCATAACCGATCTGAAACTATTGCCCAAAAATGCCAGTGGGGCCCACACCAATGTCATCCCACCTCCTCCATGTAATTGTCGACCGTCGACTAAAAGCTTCTCAAGAAGGGGGTCGTGGTGGCTGGACGACCCGTTTCTTGCCGCTTTGAGTTCGTGCACAAAAGGTGTTCCGAAAAACGAGCCAAGTAAGGGGAAGAATGTAATCGGCAAGAGGGTCGACATCTTCTCGTGCAAGCATTCGTGTGATGTTGACAAAGATAATTTCGTGAGGCTTACGAAGCTTCCTCCCATTCCTAAGGAGAGGTATATGGCTAGATCCTTGGTCCGAAACTTGCATTAGCTAGTGACTAATTAGTTGTATGATGAGCGTGTAAATAGTATATTAAGGGCGTGCTTGAATACATGTATATCTGGATTTTTTTAGTTAATTATGGTTAATTTTTAAAAAGGTGGTATGGTTAGTTGTAAGTTGGAGTTTAAGTTAATAAAGTTGATTTGTGTAAAAATAGGAGAGAAATGATGTGAAGTGATAGTTAGTTAAAATTATGTGAGTGGATGAATAATGAATTAAAGTTGTGGTAATGTGTAAGAATGATTGATTGATATTATTTAATTTGGTATCTAAAAGGCTCTCGACCAGCTTGGTTCGACCTGATCTGTCCTCATCTTCAGTGGATGACCTTCGATACCTGCAAAAACTCGACATTGAAGGGGTTTTATCTAGTAAAGAGTCTCTGATGCTTAAGTTAGAGATGTGAAGAAGATGATGAACATTATGCAATGTGTGAAGAGGCATACCTTACTCCTATATATAGGGACGTGTTACCTTGTTGCCTAAGACTGCCCAAACTGCCCACCTGTACAACCCGAACTTTTCGATCTGCCCAATTTTGTTAAGTTACGTGGTCCTATCTACGTGTGGATCTTATCTTAATAATATTCTTTGTTATCCTTTGGTCTTCCTTATTAGACGGTCTAATCATGCGACCGACCTGGATTTCCTCGAGGTAGTGTGTTGTCGATGCTGAGCTCATATGAACTGCTCACCTGGTCGATCATGTGACCTGCCGTCTGTTCAAGTCAAGTTTCAACCAAGTCATTTGAGCGCCCTGACTCGACCTGTCGGTGCTCCTCTGATCCCACCATATCCTATTCGGCCTGTAGCACCTTCGGTCTTTGTTCGACCTATCGGTTCGACGTTTCTCATAGAACCCAAACAAGTGGTATCAGAGCAATTGGTCTAATTCGTTTTGTGCAAAGTTTGGATCATTAGGGTTTATAAATTAGTTGTGTTCAAGGAGCGCCATATGTTTGTTGTATTATATTGCATAACTCAGTTTTGCAGGTGATTATATAATCCCTTGTTATGGCCTTACATGTATGCTTTGAATTTTTGCATGTTTTTAACTCGGGATAGTCGAAAAATTTTGGGTTCTGAATGCTTGTATATTCATTGGCATGTTGGGATACCGTATAGATTTATTGGTTTTCTAGACAAGCATGAAAACCCATCCGTGGGTCTAGGATTCATGTAATTTATTTTATAAATTAATTATTGTTTGTGGACAAGCTCGGACAATCACGAAGAATGGCGACCTCGACGACTGACGTCTGACAACTGAGACTTGGAGACACACGGGCCGCGGAAAGTACGCTCTCGCGGTGGCCTGAAAGCATTGAACCGATCACAGGCCGCAACCGAGGTCGCGACCTCTCTGGAGACAGGGGCTGAAGGCACTCACTCGACTGGGGTGTAAAAGCGTGCATAGGGTATGCGGCCAGCGCATGAGTTTCTCGCAGGGCGCTGTGCCGCGGAGACCTGGGCGTGCATGTGTGCCTCGTCCTAGGCGTCCAGAGCGCAAGCGCGTTAGCTACTCGAAAGCACGCAAGAGTTGCACGAGGAGTTCCCGTCGACCATGTGACACGCGAGTGTTGGTAACACGTTCTTCGCGCAGTGCCGCATACTTTGCGCGACCCAGGTGACGCTCGAGCACCCCACATGTCATTGTCGCTGGTTGATAGACACGACCCAGAGACGCCGTAGCAGCCCTTAGCTGTGCGCACGACGCATGCACGAGCGACCCGACAACGTGCGGTACACCCGACATCGTAAAATTTCAAGACAACGGTTCCGACGATGACGCGACGATTTTGGCAAGGGGGCTAATATGGAGATGAAGTTTGTTGCCTTTTGAGTTCTTATCTGACAACAAATTTATGTCCTAATAAGAAAGGAAATGATTATTTCTTAATTGGAAAGGATTCAAAACAAAATGGCTATAATAGTAGATATTTTATTACCATGTTTTACTATTTGCTATTAATTGCTTAGATACGGATGTGATTAATTAACACTGCCATAGTGGTCTTGGTCTGCAGTTAGGCCCATACTTTGGAAGCCTATATTTGGCGCCACCTTAGGGTCCCTGTTGTAGATTATAAATACAAACCTTCTCTTGGGATTTTAATCACAAATATCGAGAGAACTTAGTGAGTTGTTCACCGAAACAAACAAAAATAGTGTAAAGGTCATACAACAGAAGTTTCGAGGTAACCTGAGACTCCCGTCGATTAACCGCGCACTGAGACACGAGTCCCGTATGCCCTCCGCGACGCACGACCTACGACCATGCCAAGTCGTACGCATCGCACGTAGCCGAGCGATCGCATACGCAAGTGATCCTGCATGACCCAAAACCGCACACGACGTCTACAACTCAGCGACGAGACGATTCAATTTTTGTTCGAGCGAACCGATGTGGCTCAGACGATCTTCGTCAAAGGAAATAAAAAACATCTCAGAGTTTGCAAAGTTTTAAGACGTACGTGTCCAATCCTTACTTTACTCGGCTGCGCTTTAGGCTTATTCTTGTAGACTAAATCCGTGACTTACATAAATGACGTTCCTCATACAACCACAACAAAATAATCTCTCCCAGATGAAGTTGGCTGAAAATTTTGAGATGGGGATTGAGAGTCAGTAGACTGACAGTCTGGATTGCTCTTTGGTTGAGATCTAAAGCTAAATCTCCCTTCTTTGCTTTCAACCATTCCCCTTACCGACCCTCCTGTAGATTCTCTTTTGAAATAGCATACAATATTTTTTTTCACAAAATCTATCTAAATGGTCTATTGTTTCACTAAATAGCATCCCATTCGTCAAAATTCAAAAGGTTTTTAAATAAATAAAGAATGATATTATTCAGGGTGTGATTGAATATAGCCTTGATTGAGTTTTGATTGCTTTTTTAGTTATTTGAAAAATGTTGGGTTACGTTTGAGTGAAATTTTAAGTTTGTATTAAAATAATATTTAAAATAAAATAACTAAAGTTGATTAGATGTAAGAAAAGGAAAAATGTGATTGAAAGTGATAAGTAGTTAAAATTATGTTAGTGAATGAATAATGAATTAAAATTGATGTGATGCGTAAGGATGATTGATTGATATTATTTAATTATATTGATAATATGGAGGATACTGAGGTTGGGTTAAACATGAGCTGAAAAAAGTGATTGAGTTAAAAGTAATTAGATGTTTCTAGCCAAATCCATATCCATTCACCCTCTCATTATTTTTTTTTTATTTTTTTTTCCTCCAGAAGGATAGAAATTCAATAAAGAAAAACACGTAATTACAAATACCTAACTAATAACATCCCAAATAGGCAGCTACACAACTGAATTGAAAGGGAGGACATCCCAGAGGGTAGCCTAAAGACCCCACAAGTCATCCACAACAACAAGAACAAGAAATCCCAACGGGAGAATAACTTACTCCCAACAGGAAAATGAACACCTCAAACAAATACAAAACACCAAGCACACAAAAAACACAAAACTTACAACTAGTAATACTAGATTAATGCATCAACCCCAACCCCCCAATCAGCTCACCCTTCCAATAAAGGCTGCCCCGGGACCACCATGAAGAAATGCATCAACCCCAACCCCCCAAAAAATCTAGCGATTGCAACTAAAAATGACCGGAGCCGAGAAGAACACCCGCCGGAGAAACTAGTCACTCCAACATCAGGGACCAACCAGAACGAGGGGGAAAGGACACACACAACAGAACCAAACATCGCGAGAACGATGCTCGACGCCGCCAGATGGACATGGGAGGATTTAGAAAATTTAATTGGGGGGTTTCTAAATAATTTTTAATAATGACATACTTCATTAAACATACAAAGTTTCATTCCTAGAATGGAAAAAAAAATCAAAAAAATACATATCGTTCAAACTTTGTGACTATTAGAATTGTGTTCGACGTTCTCTCAAGTCACGAAACCCATCGATGATTGACTCGGTAGTAATAGATCTTGCAATTTCTCTGTCAACAAAGATAGTCAAAGAATTTACAATAAAGTCATCTTCCATTTTATTTCGAATTTTGGATTTAACGATAGATATAACCGAAAATGCATGCTTTGTGGTCGCTCTTCAACATTTTTTTTTGTCAAACTATCTAAGCTACAGAGGATGAATTAAAACATATAAGAATAATGAATAAGTACACACATTGAGTATTAGAGGTGTGCTAATTTTAAATCCTAAATCCCTAAAAAGATAAATAAATTTAATTATGAACATGAGCATAAATTAAAGTACTCAAAAATATGAAAGGATGATCAAATAATTAGAAGAATCAATGAATTGTTGAGTATTATTATTGCTGCANCAAGTTGAGGGCCTGAGAATTTGAGATATTTTTTAAGTTAAGTATAAGTAAAATATTTTAGATTAGTTTAATTAATAAAGAAATAATATATTATTATAATACATAAAAGGTGAAAGTTGAGCTGTATTTCTTTAAATATATCTCTAATTTAAATATATCTCTAATGGGCTTGGTCTTAGCCCACCTAATCAAAAGCATTTAGTTAATTGGTTAGGGGGACAAAAATAATTAAATATACTAATCTATTATATTAAATATATACTTAATTAAAAAAAAAAAAGGTTTGGGGGGACCATGGCCCCCCTTAGTATACATGTCCAGGTGCGGAGCTTTATTTGGACTAGGTCCACACTAGAAAAAAAAACCTAGTATTAGTATTAACCCATATTGTTTAATCTAAAAAATACTAATATGCCATATGAGCCCAATAAAAACTGCCCAACTCACAAAGACTAAACCCTAGTATTACTACTATCTCATATGAGCCCAATAAATAAGCTTAATATAATAAACTAATAAAGCATTTAACAAAATAATTAAACAAGATGAAAGAGTGCATAGATCATGCAAACAAATACAAAGGGAAAGAAAAAGAGGGAAAAATAGGGGGAAAAGGAAAGAGTCAAAGAGTTTGTCAATTTTCGGTCTAACTATACGGGAAGACTACTTACAAGATAACTAAATTCTTTCTATTTGTTTTAGTAGAGGTAAAAATTACTCTTTTTTATTTTTTTAGATAGTGGTACATACATTCTTTTTATGTAGAAATTGCGCATTCAAGCCCTTTTTAGGTTTTTTTTTAGCTATTTAAAGTGTAAAACAACAACAACAACAACATAGCCTTTAGTCCCAAGCAAGTCGGGGTAGGCTAGAGATGAAACCCAAGAGAACCATCGGTAAAAGAAACACAAAAAGGGTTGAAACAAAAGGAAGAGATTGGAGCAAAAGAGAAAGGAGTAAAAGTCACGGTTCTGGCACGTTGATTGCTAGCCTCCAAGCGCTCTTATCCACCGCTAAATCCTTGGAGATATTCCAATCTTTAAGGTCTCTCTTAACCGACTCTTCCCAAGTGAGTTTAGGCCGACCTCTACCTCTCTTTACGTTCTCGAACCGCTGTAGAACTCCCCTACGCACCGGTGCATCAGGAGGCCTCCGTTTGATATGTCCGAACCACCTCAGCCAATGTTGAACCAATTTCTCATCAATTGGAGCCACCCCGACCCTATCTCGAATATCTTCATTCCGGATTCTATCCCTTCTTGTGTGCCCGCAGAACCATCACAACATACGCATCTCTACTACACTTAGTTGTTGGACATGTTGCCTTTTTGTAGGCCAACATTCAGCATCGTATAGCATCGCCGGGCGAATCGCCGGGCGAATCGCCGTCCTATAAAACTTACCTTTTAGCCTCTATGGTACCCTCTTATCACAGAAAACGCCCGAAGCTTGCTGTCATTTCAACCAACCGGCTGCAATTCTATGCCTAACATCAGCATCAATGCCGCCATCCTTTTGTAGCATCGATCCTAAATACCAGAAAGTCTCCTTCTTGGCCACCACTTGCCCGTCAAGGCTAACGTCACCCTCATCATGTGAAGCCATGCTGAAAGCGCACGTCATGTACTCGGTCTTCGTCCTACTAAGTCTGAAGTCTTTCGACTCTAACGTGTCCTTCCACAGCTCTAATTTCCTATTTACCCCTGCTCTACTCTCGTCAACTAGCACCACATCATCAGCAAAGAGCATACACCAAGGGATATCACCTTGTATGTCCCTTGTGACCTCATCCATCACCATGGCAAATAAATAAGGGCTCAATGCTGACCTTTGGTGTAGTCATATTTTAATTGGGAAGTCACTGGTATCGCCCCCACATGTTCGGACACACGTCATCGCATCCTTGTACATATCCTTGATGAGAGTAATGTACTTAGATGGGACTTTGTGCTTTTCTAAGGTCCACCACATGACATTCCTCGGTACTCTGTCATAAGCCTTCTCAAGGTCGATAAAGACCATGTGCAAGTCCTTCTTTTGGTCCCTATATCTCTCCCTCAACTGTCGTATTAGGAAGATCGCCTCCATGGTCGACCTTCCAGGCATAAACCCAAATTGGTTTTGGGTCACACTCGTCACTCGTCGTAGGCGATGCTCGATAACCCTCTCCCAAAGCTTCATCGTATGGCTCATTAACTTAATCCCACGGTAATTACCACAGCTTTGAACATCTCCCTTGTTCTTGAAGATTGGTACTAAAATACTTCTCCTCCATTCATCAAGCATTTTGTTTGACCGGAAAATGAGGTTTAAAAGTTTAGTTAGTCATACTAACGCTCTAGCGCCCAAGCATCTCCACACCTCAATGGGGATACCATTAGGGCCCATTGTTTTACCTCCCTTCATCCTCTTCATAGCCTCTCCGATCTCTGCCTCTCGAATACTTCTCACCACGCGTATATTGGTATCCTCAAATGAGTCATCCAACTCCAGGGT